CCTTTTCTCTTGCAAACCGGAACTGGACCGGATGACTGTAATGTCCTCAATATCAGCATTACTTAGGCAAAAACTTCGTCTCCTTAGGGGATCGTGTCTTCCTTCTTAGTTGTGCGTATGCTAGTGTTGCCTACTTTATATAAGAAGGTAGATTTATAGAAAGTCTGACATGTGCTGCAAACATAGGGGGAACATGGAATGGATTAGGTTTATTACCTAGCAGTTCGAATGTTATGAAAAGAACTAACTTGTATCGCCCAGGTACCACAGAGCGCTACCGTAAGAAGCTGTCCAGATAAGGTTTCCGACTGTCGTAAAGATGATGAGGAATGACATCCCGCCCAATAAGAAAAGAATCTACAAAAACAATGGAACAGTTGCAGAAGTTCCAGGGTAGTAGAGGAGGAAAAAGAACAAAACAACTACTGCTTACATATTTGTTAATTTGTACATCGATAGTCGACCTCTTGAGAGGTGCCACACTTGAGTTCAACATGATCTTGGTCTCATGTCCAGTATAGAGGACCGTACCTGCAAGAAGAAGACAACTTATTGACGCACATTTTTACTGGCTTATATTTTTGGATGGAATTAATATCAGGTGCCTACCATAAATCCATTCCGTGTTTTTTAGGTATGAACCGCGAAGCAAAAGCTGATTCAGTCCTATGGAGAAGGATCTACAAAGGTAACGAGAAGAGCTCAATAAAAGCTAAGAAATGATTTTTATTTGCCAGCCGGATAAAATATATTTGACAATGAACTGTATTTGATGGCGAAAACATGCTCCACTTACGTATTATCTGGAAGCCACAATGTCCCGACAAACTTGTCCAACTCCCTTACCGGAACTCCGCAGCATATGCTTAGGCGTAATCCCGAAAGCTGCAAAGAATCTAACAAGTTGGTTGTGGGTGGAAGGCTCTAAGGTAAAAAGAAATGCAAAAGCTACAAAGAGTCTAGATATCATAATTCATGCGAAAAGTATGGGAAGGTTAAACAGGAAACCTACTTGTTTCAGCTTTAAGTTTGTTTCACCATCAATGTTGGAGGTTTCAATATAACAGGCACCGCCACGAAGGCTAGAATCCAGAAGTAGCAAGTCTGCAGGTATTCCCTCATTATTTCGGACTTCAACTATATCGCCGACTTTTATGTGCATCCATTGCATCTTCTGCCACTTATTTTCTCTCAACACTATAAAAGTCCAGGTAATTCGAGGACAAGCAGTACACTATACCTAGAGTTTTTGTGCTGTTGGTCCTTCGGTCGGCAGTATGTCTTCTCTGAAATGGAGGAATGAAACGGTTGGACCGGTACTCTTACCAGATCTTCGAAGACCTCCTTCACTGCAGAAACCAGTAAAATAAAGCTCAATGGGATGATGGTCGTGTAGCGGCCGGTTGGCGAAACCCCTGGAATTTGCTAAAAGTTACTTAATGAAACGTATAGGAGGACTAAAAACCTACTTGACAAGCTGCAACAAACAGAAAAAACAAGTTTATATACCGACGGAACTGTTCAAAAAGGAACTTGGGGAGGAATGTCCAAACAGAGTATTTACTAGTCCTGTCATATAAGAGAAGCAAGTAAGAAATATGGTGGCCTCACGATATTTTATTCGAACAGAAGTCGTTCGCTTTGTTCGTGTTAACGTGAATAAAGCGCTGGGCCTCAGCAAAGCCAGCTTGAGTCATTTGGATGATTGACAGATGACCTGAAACATAAAATAAATAATCTGACGGATGGAGGATCAGTAACTCTTAAATCTAATTCTGGATGTGGTTAGGTACCATAAAATGTCGAATTTGTTACTTAGCGATAAAAGGGCTCGAATCAAAAGAGGTAAACCAAGCACCCTGAAATGCAGGACATGTTCCGGGATAAACAACGAAATAACAAAAACCAGAAAGAAACGCAGAGACGAAGGTGAATATTTGCATTATAGGTGTATATGTATTTAAGTTTGAAAGAAAAGGGCTGCTCGACCACCAGACCCATTCCTTCATTCAGCCAATTGATTGAGACCTGAGCTTCCGGTTAGGATTTGGTCAATCGATATATCGATCTAGCACTGAAATATAGAGTCCTGAGTAGTTATCTACGGACTGACGTAACTGATGGTGGATGGGCTCCTACTGTTGCTTGTTTGAGGTCGGTTTTTAATCTCACGGGGACCTGCTGCTCAATGGTCGAAGCTCGCAGAGAAATGGTTCCGGTAACTGAACAGCCTTCTTCTTCCCAACTTACGCATACATATGTTACTGTCAGTTATCTTTGTCTTAAGCGATATGAAATATTCAAATACGTATATGAATATATGCATTTCAGAATCGCGTGAAAACGGGCCTTAGCTACAGCGGCAAGATAGCGGCTGCAGTGTACAGTAGAGGTGGAGAAATTCCGAAAACCCACATTTTGTGACGTAAACTATTAGAAAGGAATCAGAGGGG